CAGCGGCGCTTCCCTGTGACCTAAGACGTTCGCTCCGGGCCCCCGCGGCTCCGGAAGGCTCCCCTGCAGCCCCTTCTCACTGCCGCCCGCTCGGAGTTCACCGCGGGGCTCCGCAGCCTCCCAAGCGCTCTGGAAGATTTGGTAGAGCCAGGAGAGAAGTCCTCCGCGGGCTGCGAAGTTAGCTTTCCAGGACGGGCTAATGGCAGTCCGTGGCGAGGAGCACCGCTGCGTCGGGAAGGATCAGCAGACTTGGCCCACTCCTCCTTCGGGCAATGCGCCCTGCTCGCATCTCCGCCTGCCAGCCTGCCGGGAATACAGTTACTCTTTTTTATTATTTACATCTACGGTACAGAAATAGCAAAACGAAACCCATGCTAAATATGCAAAGAACACAGACATTAGCTATTACCGCATGCCAGTATTATTTGCTAATTACTCAGGACACACCAAAGCATTTTTCACAAACGCAGACAACGCAGCCATCCTCCAGCCGACGGTACCGATGCAACTGTTTTACCGCTCGCTCCCCACCACCTACTGCTGCACTTTGTTCTGTCTTTCACATTAAACCACTTCTAGGAAAACCAGTTTATGAGGAAAACACCATGCTAGCACGTGTACAAAAGCACTAAGGCTGACGAGAAAGAAGCAATCGGAAAAAGAAACGATTGAGCTGTGTTATTGGGATTGTCTTAAGATGAGCTCTAAAAATAATAGTAATAAAATGGTTTCAGAAAGATTCTTCTTTCGCTAAAACGACTCAGCCTTGCCGCTCCCAAGGGCGTCAGTCCACATCGCATTAAGATTCTGGAAGCCCAGCAAAGGCGTAGAGGCCATTACTACAACAGAGACCTTTTAAAACACTCCCTCTTGCAAAAATTGAGGACTGTTTTTTTTTCCTTAGCTTTTAGGAATGTCCTGATTAGTCTGGGTACTACTTGTCCGGGACGTTCACAGGAACATCCCTCAGAACAACAGGCATTATGTTTCTGAAAGTAAATATTTATAAACGTAAATGAATAGTTTCTTTGGAGATGGGATTGGGTTCCCACGTCGGACGTTTGCTGCACTCATGATCCTCCTCCTACTGCAGAACATTGGAATTCCCCAGAACGGAGCTTCGTGGTGACAAAGATCTGTCAAAAGGATCGCCAAATATCAGGGTGCAGGCGTTACTTTTAAAATCACAACTCTTACGAGTCAGTGAGCGTAACAGGAGGCCTGGTTTGCATGCAGACAAAGTCATACCCCTGAAGCAGCAGCAGAGATCACAATCCCCGAATCTCGGTGCTTCCTTTTGTGCCAGTCCAAGGGAAAACTTCCCAGTCAGTAACAGCACCAAGGATTTATTTTGCTGCTATAATTATTTCAGTGTACAAAACTACACTGAAAAAGAGGTTTAACATTAAAGAATAATTGAGGCAACTGAAAAGCAGCAGCCTTCACTAGTGGTGAAAATTAAGCACATTTTTTTTCTGAAGCTGTACTTTAGTATCAATTTTAAGGATGTCTGTTACAAAAAATGGGCCAGTTGCTTATTAAATGGTCCAGATACCATTGCCTGTATATTTTGCCCCTCCTCTCTACCCAGCTATAATTTTTGATGCCTAATTCATCAGTAACAGACTATATAAGTGGTGTTAAAGAACTTGTTTGCGTTTTATATCTCACATACAGCTTCCTGTGATCTTAAAGCAGATGTCTATTGCGACGGTGCCTGCTTTTAACTCGCTCGGAGAAAGGCAAACTCAGGTGTAGCTGTTTCAACCTCAGGAAAAGCCGGAGGTTCACCACATTTATTGAAACTACCAAGTTGCATTCAGTGCAATTTACAGCGCACCATTTTGCACTGGAGCTGAGAGAGCCGCTAACTCATCTACGGCTTCCTTTGCGTTTTGAAACACACCTCTATGCAAACAATTTCAAGATGTTTGTCTTTGCCCTGGCTTTGCCTTTGCCTGACCACATTTCTGCCTAGCACCAGCTGTAACTTCGGTCCGTCCCTTTCTTTTGCTAGCAAGAGGCACCACAACGTAGTTCTCACCTTCGTCCTAAACTCTGCCCTAAGCTCTGCAGTTCTGCTCTCTTCATACACGAACTCCCACATATATAAGCTACCGGTTTGTGTTCCGTTTTCTATGAACTGTGACATTTCCAGAATAAACGCTGTATGATTTAAGAAAAATCCCAACAATATAAAGATGAAGAAAAACCTAAGGACAGAGGTAACTGTAATTCCTTTTGCTCACGATCAACTGTAAGACAAATTAAACTGCTTTACTATGATGTGCAATGTTTAGTGATTGTTTTATTAATGCAGAAATACCTGCTTAACTTCATACCCATTCTGATTTAAAGTGCAACAATTAAATCTGTTATTGTACATCCATATTCTGCAGGTGTTGTTCCTAGAAGACGTCGTTCAGATTATGCCTTGCATTTGTAAAATCTGTCATTTTTTAGTACCGTTTTGCTTTATTAACTAAAATAAACTGTACAAAAAGCTGTAGAGTTACATTAGCTTTGAACAATGTAGGATACACGTTCTCTGCCAAACTTTAGTGTGCAAACATTTTACATTTTTTAAAGTGACAAAATTAAGCCAACCTTGAAGTCAGAGTTCATTACTACATTACAAAACAGGAGACTAGATATGGCAAAAGAAATTCCCCACCGAAATCAACACCATTGTATAATTTTATTTCTAATTCTTAAAAAAATATAAATGAATTTAGAAGAGAATCACAGTATAAGGGCCCTAACATATTAGACCATTACAAGGTACATAAAAATAGAAGACACAGATTTCTTTGAAACTTTAATCCTTTGATTAAGCAGCAAGCATATCACTCTCCAGGCAAACACTGCTTAAAACAAACCCTACCCCCCAAAACAGGACGTGCAAACTGTATGCACATATTCTGCAAAGCACACAATAAAGACATTTTGCTATGTACATACTTATTTAGTACTACAAACGCTAGGAGTTCCCTACTGTGTGCTACAGTGTATGTAAATTAAGAAATACTACCTACCTCTGACCCTCCCTCCCCCCTTCAAATACAGCACCTTTGCCCAGTTATAGAATATTTAAACAAGATTAAACGGAATTACAATGTACTGAACAGTTTTATAGCAGTTGGTGGTGGCCAACTGTACTGCAACACCCAACATTCTGCATACTGAAGTCTACCGACAAGAGACGAGACAAAAATTAGCAAAGGTACAATACACACACCTGGGAGACGCAATGCTAAAAAAAAAAAGAAAAAAAGAAAAAAAGAAAAAAGAAATCCTGAAGATGCATCTTGTCACCATTAACAATTAAACTGAGATACTTAGGATGTCAAAATGTACCGGATCGGTTTCGTATCAGTTTTAAAGACTGGAGAGCAGCCAGGTTTGTGTGTAGCTGGTGAGGGGACACTTACGACTCCCAGAACACAAGTTTCAGTGACCACGAATTCCTCGGTGCTTACTTTACAACGCTGCTTTTCTTAGACGAGAGGTCACCTGAAGCTCACGTAGTGGCTAAGCATCTACTCTGATGCAAAAGAAAATTCCCAAGAAGGACCTTTTGTACGAGACCTCAGCACACCAGTGAAAGCTGTTCGGAAAGGAAAATCTCTCAAGTTTGGTCTGAAAATATTTTAAAATGAAGAATAAACCATAAAGGTCAACACCTTAACTGCAAGTCAGGCCACAACTATCAAACTTTAATACTAGATTTACAAATGAAATAGGATCTGATGCTATAAGAACTTCCCTTTGCACAAAAAAAAGACCTTAGCCAGCTGCTAAACTGATCGTTAGACCATTCAATTTATCTGTGAAAGAGCCTAGTGAGAGCACATTCCATTGTCAAATAAAGTCTCATTTTAGTCAAGGGCAAATCTAGTTATTAACAGAATGGATTTAAAAGGATTTTCAAACACCGTTTCAGCTGTTGGCAAAAATAATTTTCTACAATAGTATGGTAGTCAGCATGAATGTTATTACGTAGTCAAGAATGCAATATTTTTCAATAGCTTGATTCAGATCACACAGTTTCAGACACTGCTACTCAAATTTGCAGCCTGGTTTACTTGGAGGGTAGAGGCACCTACTTTAAAAAAACAACAAACAAAACACCCACAAAAACTGACCCCTCCCCCCCAAAGCACTGCTGGGCATAAATCAAGGTTTCAGACAAGAACAGTTTAATGAATGCAGTGGAAGAAAACCTTTCAATCTCCTAAAATTTGGAAGCAATAATTAATACCCAAATGCAAATTTTACTTAGTCAATAAAACAAAACAAGCAAACCCCCCCCCCCAAAACACCCAAGCCGCTAATCAGTTCCGCCAGAAATAGCAGAAATCGGAGATAATCATTTAACAGTAGGACTGGGCTGGCAGCAGGTAACTCTACTGCCACAATATTCTACTACCACCATCAGCCTCTATACTTCCCTCACGAATTCTTAGGCAAGATGTCAATGATCTAACGTACTCAAACTGCAGACAGCCATTCTCAGAGGAATGAAATTCTGCTGTACTTAAATTAGAAGAATTAGTGGAATAACAAATTAAATTAATGGTTCTTGCTATATGGTTCCTCTCCTGTCACCCCCCTGGGTGGTAGGAGTTGCTGCCTCCCTCTCCACCCCAGCCCACAAGAGATAACGCAGCAGGGAACTGGACTCCGGTTTTCAGTTAACTTCTATGAGTAGAACACGCGTGAGATTTAGTAAGTTTGGTACAATAGCTCACCGAGTCTTCAGAATACTCTTTCAGCAGAGTATTTAATAAGACAGTACCTTTTTCAACAAGCAAAAGTGTTCTGGGAAAAACACGAAGAGAAGAAACACCTACATTTTACAAGTGCGTGAAATGCTTCTACTGTTACCTAAACAGGGCCAAAAATTCTGAACCTAAGGCCATTATTTTTTTTGCACTAAAAAGTAAAAAAAAAAAAAAAAGGAAATTCACACACACACACAAAAACCCAACGCTACATTTAAGTCTCCTACAATATTATCTATTCCTAGATTTGCCAGACTACTTTCCTGTAGTTAGATGCTTGACTACAAAGAACTGTAATAAAATAAATAGAGTAAAAATCAGTTAAACAAAATCTTGGTGTGTTGAACATTTATTCATTTAAGAAGTTAGCTTCCTTCCACAGTTATTCATATAGAGGAGGGCTGTACTGTAGGCATTGTTCTGCTGTACAAGTCTTTGACATAAAAATATTTTTATACAGGTGGTCATTCATGTGGTTCCGTTTCTAGTTATTAGCTTGCTCCTCTGTAAAACTGGTCTGATACCTGTGAAGGCTTGCTCTTTTCTCCCCTTCATTATTTGGAAAAAAAAAAGTACATTGATACAATTTTTCAAATGTAGGAGTTAGCATAATTCTGCTTTATTTCTTCAGTGCAGAGTGGACTGGGATTCTGTCTGAATTCCAATAAGCGAGGGTGGCTGCTGGCCGCTAACCGTGGTTAACACTGGCCTTGGGTTGAGACGAGGAGGCATGGAATTAGCTGGGCGGATGAGTGGTGGGGGAGGCTGATTTAGAGTCGGCCTTGGCTGAATAAATCGCGCCTGCTGTTGAAGTGGCGGAGGCTGACGATGGAGAGCAGGAGCAGCAGGAAGCGCTGGACGAAGTAACGGGGGCGGCTGATTTAAAGTTGCCATGGGAGCGGTAGGTGCCGGAGCAGATGCCTGTGCTGGAGGTGAAGGGCCTAAACACTGAGTGGCCGGAGCGCTTTGTGCCTGCACAAAGGACAAAGACAAGACTGCGTGAACAGCCATCCCAGCCAGAACGCGATGCAGTTGGGCTGCCACTGTCCACTACACAGGAAACAGCATTTAAAAAACAAAACCAAAAAACTGAGAAGTTACTGAAAAGAAATCACCAACCAAAACATTATAGACAGCAGAACTAAAAATATTTATGAAGCAAGAGTCTTCTTTCTAGAACAAGAACTGTATTTTAACAATAAAACAGTAACGTGATCGTCACTATGAAAGGTGCAGTCCTGCTCCCAGCTGGTTAACGACATTGGCTGAAGTTCTATGCAAGCTCATCATCATTCTTTAGAATGCGGTTTGCCACTCCACACCAATTAACCTTACATTATATCACTAAATAAAATGCTGTTCCTCAACCCATGCTTACTTATTTCTGGTACACAAAACACACCTCATCTTCTTCATCAGTGCTCTTTCCTGATGGCACATTAGAAGTATTTTTTGTGTCCTCCCCTAAAGCAGAAGCATCACCATTAGAAGCCAGGGTTCCTTGTTCCGCTTCCCATTCCTGCAATACCTCCTCTAAGTTAAACCGACGCCTGTAGTTTACAAAGAAGTTCTTCACTTGGCCAACAGTCTTGTTGCCAATTACATCTGCAATAGCTTGAAAATCTTTACCATATTTTCGGACACCTGGAAGGCAAAGTAAATAACATAGCTGTGAAGAATCAGTCAGACACAGCTACGTGTGATGTATTTATAGAGAGAACCTATGGGACCTGCAAACCAAGGACTCGCTAATTAGGAGGACTTCTCAATTAGGAGAAGGCCTCAATTTCCATTACAACAAAATAATTTTTAATTGCACAGCTATCAACATACAAATCAAGAACTTTATTAAAAGGTCATTACCCACTCTTCTTAAAGAACCTGGCTTACTCACCAAGCCACCCAACCTAAAACCGCAGAGATCTGGCCTCTGACGAATGAAGTAAATCCTTCGGTGTGCTTGCAGTAAGGGCAGAAGCCCGACAAGTTCAAGATGGGAGAGGGAGGGTGACCGAGCACATGTGTATAGCTGTAAACAGGGTATAACACTAGAAATATCAGGTGACAAAGGTGGACAGCTTCTATGGGTTCCCTCCGTGCCAGCTGCACGCAGATGTTTCTCTGCCCACAACCTGTGCAGCAGGAGTGGTAGAGGGCAGTACCTACTGGACCAAGCACAGGGCAGAACAGGGAGGCACAGTTCCGTAAGTCACGATATACTGCTCATTCCTCCACTTGTGACATGCTCTACTAAAGCTACGAAGAGCAACTGGCAAGCATTCACCTGACAAAGTCTTTTTAAAGCTTTCATTCACCATTCGACCTGGGTAGAAGAATCTGGGGTTTTGGGACAACCACCTGGGGGAAGGTAAGTAAATATAAGCCATTGGTGTCTGTTTATAAGACAGCCCAGCACAGGCCTCTGGGACCAAATCCTCCAGCAAGAAGCAGCATGACAGAAGATCTTTGCACTGTTCTTTTCATTCATTTTCATATTGACATCAGTAGGTCACTTTTGTTTACAAGAACTTCACAAGAAAATGCTGCTGGTCCTTTCAAAAAATCCCAACGTGTGCTTTTTAAAGTTCTAAAACTACATTTGCATATAACACAAAAACCCCCTTGAGTACAGCATTCCGTAGTTTTTAACCTAAAACTGGAATTATAATCTAAAGTTTATTGATTTTCTCTCAGTTGTATTTTGGGTATGTGTCTAGTTCTTCTTCCTCTCTCCTGCTTCAGAAAAATCCTCAAACTCTCCAGCATCCTAGAACACAGCTTTTAGCTGCACAAAATGTATCTTTAATCAGAAGTGTCCAAAAGTTTGGAGACTAGAGGAAATAAAACAGAGTTTTATTCCAGACTCAGTAAACAGAAGACTCATCTTTTGCTCTCCGCTATGCATGAGTGAATTACAATTTGACTCCTTCTGCGAAGCTCCTGATAACTAAACTCATTCGGGACATATTACAGTGCTTAGAGGACAGGCACTCTGTCTCATTACAGGAAGGGAAATTTATTTCTGATTCCATGCCTCACTTCAGAAAAAGAAGCAAAGGATTCAGAAAGTGAGAGTTGTTTCAAATCTGAAAGCTATGTTCCTTCTCAACTTAGTTGTGAAGAGCATGACCTTCAGCTTGTTCTGCTCTTTACTTTCTTCGTTAATAGGCACTTCTGATGTGGTAACGTACACTCACTGCAATTTAAGAGAGAAGTTCAGCTCTAGGATAGTAACAATTTCTGTAGCTGAACCTGATGTTTCAACTGTCAAGAGCCCAGCTACATTATTTAAGATCTTTTCTGGGGCATACAAAAGAATCCAACCATCCTGACTGCAAGAACCTTGGAAAGAAAACAAAGGGACCTAGCAGAGCCACGCGGGAGGGCATGTATCTAGACAAAGCAAAGACAGGGATTTGGCTCTGTGCTTTATCAGCTGTACAAGGTATCAGCTATACTCCTTAAAAGCTGCGTGCGCCCACAGAGCACTCCCTCCAGTGTTTTAATGTTCTTTGATCGCCCTACCATTACTACCCTTACTAATTTATAATGATCATTAAATGTCCACTGCAACATATCTAACGTCCTGTACAATTCATCAAGTGAGCAAAGTGCCCAGCAGAAAAAAGCGCATTTTTGTTTGAAACCTAGTTCAGACTTTTAGTGATTTCAACCTTTTCTGTTACTATGCTGTCTGTACTCCTTCCTTCCCCTTAATCTGCAAAATGACTGAGCCTATTGGCTAACTTCAACTAAAGTTGTCAAAAATAAGGTCTTAAAGCCTATTTCCAAGCAAACAGTTTGAAAAGTGTTAACTTGCCTTCACTGAGAGCCCAACTGTAAGAAATATCTAAAGAAAATACAATTTCCTTACTTTAGCTACACACAGCACTACTCATTTTGGATTCTTTTCAGAGTGTTATTTAGTACTGCTCTAGCGTCACCACAAAGACTTCTACACAATGAGGTAGTAGAACCCTTTTAAGCTGCATCAGAAACAGAGGAAGTTCAACACATGTTTATGAAATTTTTATGCATAAGGTGCTGGCATATCTGTAAGAGTTGATGCCAACTCATCACCCATTTCAAATTGGTGCGCGTAACTTTCACATCCTGATATGAATTCTGTGCTACACACCACCCAAATAATTTCTAAAGCGTTTAATCTGTTATTCAATAAGAATAATTTTATTAGGTTGCTGAAAGTGAAGCTCAAAAGATGACTGCATAGCCTCACTTCACATGTATGAATGTCTTTCTCCTGGCTCATTTGAAAGTAGCCCCGATCACGGGAATGCTTCAACCTCTTGAAAACTTCGCCCAGTTGCAAAGGTTCACTTGAACGTGTGCGTGCTCACTATTACAATGTTTCATCTTGAACGTCTAACTCAGAGAAACTCGTAACTCCAAGTTTGATGCTGCCTACGCTGCTTAACGCTGTGCAGCACAGCGAACACGGACAGGCACACAAAACATTAGCCTGGGTCCAAAGCAGTATAATACAGCACCACAATGAGGCAGAAATAGTTAACGGCAACCTCCAGGTTATGAGAGCTGCAGTTTCACTGTGATGGGATTACAGTGCTCCTGGCAACTACCTTACATAGAGTCAGATCCTGGTTGTCCCAACTGTTTTCCACTGCAATGCTATGAAAGTCATGCACTGCTTTTCAATTCAAATTTTGTTGTTTTGAACAAGTCTTCTAACATTTCTGCAATCGCAATTTTCATGTGGCTGAGATCTTAGTTTGAAAAGATGATCATGCTCGTACATTTCTATACATAAACAAAGTTTGTAACTTAAGAACACCTCAAGTGATAAACTGGCCCATTACATTCAATAGCTATTCAGACAACATTGAACAGTAACCTGATAAATTATACCGCAAAAGATCAGCTCAGAGATCGTAAGTCTGAGTCCACAACCCCACTGCAGGCAGCCACACTGCTTTTAAGATTACACACTCAGTTCTATTTTTAGGTGGGTTTTTTCATTACCTCCTCTTTAGTTACTGCCAATCTCTCGAGATTAGCCCACAGATGACAAGAGTTTTTTTCATCTTTAGGAAAAACAGTACCAAAATTATATTACTGCAGATTATTTTTATGATTTCCATGGTAGGATTTAATGTCTGAATTCAAGTGAACAAATCATAGAAGTGCCACCTACCTGCTTAATGCTTACGATTTCTGTAAAATTATTAAAAGCACATGCTAAAACGTATCAATACATTTGATGAAATAAATCTTAAATGTACAAACTAAATGTCCCCACGCTCAAGTCAACTTCCAAGTTCAAGCCTAACACGCACTATGGCAGCTTTTAGTACAGCAACCATGGCTACTTTCTTTTAAAAACGGAGTCAGGGAAAAGACGGCGTGGCTCCTTCATGCCTAAGTCTACTAGCTCGAGCAGTTATTTTGAAGCAAGAGATCAGGGTCCTTAGCCTGAGGGATGGGAGGTTAATACCTACAGCACTCTCATTCCAGGAGGGAGGCTCTACTACCGGGCAGTAGGTAAGGGAGGGATAATAAGACTACTTTGTCCCTGGCGTTAAGGTGCTCTCTCATCTCCATTTTATACAGTGGCAAAGGAAGGGGACTAAAAAGGAAACAATACGTGTAAGCAGCACATGTAAATTCAATGAAAACAGGTTTCTTCCGGAAGGCCTGATTCCTCACCCCACCCTTAAGTATTGAGGCTGACTACCTTTATAAAACACAAAGCATTCCCTAGAGAAGAGACCAGAAGACTAGAACTCCTCTCCAGGGAGTCATCACCAGCCCTCATTCTTTTGCCCATGCTCCAGTTTTATTATTTACCTTGTCAGTCACACAGTGCCATAGCTTAACAAAAGCTCAATGCACACTCATCGCTTCCCAAACTGATGCTTAGTGAGAGCTCCCATAACTAACCTATGAAAATGCAAGATGGTTTGAATCCTTTCATGCTAAGGCAGGCACAATGAACCTGCATTTTCCCCACTTCTCCAGCAAGCATTCTACTTGCTAGACTATCATATTAAAGATAGGCATCTCCTTCAGTTGCATTTGGGAACAAAACTTAAAAAGTGAGCTTGTTAGCAATACTGAGAGGATGAACTTAGGACAGAAAACGGTTTGGAGATGCAAATCCCAGTCTGAAGCATGTAAGTTGAGAGGCATGACTTCAGACACACCATGCTCTTCAGCATTTCCATTCACACTTCGAAATAAACCTAACTTTAGGTTCAGTTATCTGGCTAATAACTACCAGGTATGGCACACTTGACAACTTTACACCAATATCCTGATCCAACTGAAGGTTTTATACTAAAATTCAGTCTTCCATTTTAAAGGAGGCGAAGAATACAGAGAAACAGAGCAGATGTGTATAACTGAACCGATTATATTATCTTAAAAAAGATGATCCACAGAAGTGAGTCAATATATAGTGACTTCGAGACAGCATTAGGCTCTCCAGATATTTCCCTTGCATGTTCCTTGATTAGGCAGTGTGTGTTGAAGCAAGACGAGAGTCAGTTTTCCTTCATATAAATGAAATAACTGCAAATTAGCTGTGTCAATAGCCTACTAGAAAGTGTTGGGTTTTCTCCAATAAGACTGTTAGTCAAGTATCCATATCCAGCTTCAGACTCTTAAAAGGCCTCCACTGGGAAGATATCTGCTCTCTTATCCCCTCATGAACAGAAAAAAGTAACTGTAAAGCAGTTTTACTTCTGCGTTTTCCTACTTTAAGAATACGGAGAGATGTCTTAGTAAGTGTTTGCTTCAAATTTTATTACTTCAACTATTACTTCGGTCTTCCACTTTAGAGAAATTCATGTAAGGTGATTTAGAAGATGATTGAAGGGACTTGTTGGTACTACCACAGTTGTTAAACCCAGCTTAGTTTTCCTATTCGAGATTTAATATGGGTAACTGAAAGACTAGTGTCATGTTGCTTGAATGAATGCCCTAAATATTCTCACTAGTTTTGCTGTTTTCCCAGTGACTTTCTTATAAGACCAGATAAAGTTTAGCTTTTCATTAGAGGGAAATACAAACGTAAGCCTGAGTACCTCTTCAAATCCTTTGCATCAGATTTCAAGCCGCTACTACTATTAACATACCTTGTACTGCAAGAAGCTGCTCTTCTGTGGTCCAACGGGCATTGATTTTCTGATTAGACTATTAAAATTAGAAAAATGGCACAAAGATCATTAAAATGTTTCAACAGCTGCAAAATATCTGAGCATCAGAATGTGTTTTACTTGCACTACATTTTGTAACATAGGTAAAAATCTCTTGCTTATAAGTCATGAATTTATAGTTTAAGATTGCTTTCATGAACAGGAAGTAGCATTTAAGGATTTGAGCTCAGAACTACACCAACGATTTTTCCTCTGTTTTATTGCAGTTCTTAATATCAGCTATATCATAACTTATGCACAAGCTAATGATCTTTATGCAGACAGAATTTGAATTTATAGTTACATTTCTCTAAACTATTAGGACTTGGTGTCTGGAGTGTTTTGCATTCACGTTATGTTTCATATCCAAGCCTTTAAAACAAGCAAAAAGAGAACTTCAGTAGTAATAAATCGTCAGCATTGGGCATACTTCAGATGCCCAAATGTATATATAGTCATGTTTTCACACAGAACATAGAATTTACTGCTAGTAATCTACATTAACTACTTTTAACCAGAAAAAAAACCCATTTATCAGGGCTCAATTTCAGCTCCCTATTGTCATGAACAGACATGACATTTCAGTTTCTTCTGCTTCTTTATTTAGCCAGTTGCCATAAAAAAAGCCTACCACTAATTTCTTGTAAAGAAGCCAGACAGACTCACCCCTGCATGTAATTCAATGGATCCTGTTTAGGGGCTGCTGAAATGCAAACACTATGCTGCAGCAAAACACATTTCTGTAGCTTCCCACTAATGTAAGTGCAAGGCCACAAGTTCTAATATTTATTCTGATTTACCTCAGGAGGTTTGAATTCTTCAATCCCGCCTTCCATTTTCTGTTTAAGTGCACTGTTTACTTGCTTAGCATTTTGAACCTTGGTCAAAAACAACAAAGTTAATCAGCTCCACAAAGAAAGTTGGTCACTTTACACATATATCTTCACTAGGATTGCCACAAGTGTACCTCCTAAGTTAGAAAGAGAAATATTATGGTTTAAGGCTTCACTATTTTTAACTGTTTAAAAAAAAAAAATTTAAAAAATACAGCACAGTTTACTACGGAGAGAAAAACGTTTAAGCCAGTCTTTCAAAAGAACAGTTTGTCTGCAGGAATATTAAAAGTAGGACATAATAAGCAAGTTTTGATAGCGATGCATATGTTCTTGAAGAACAAAAAATATTCTAGACACAAAACTTGGTTCTTAGATATCTAAGTGAGATGTACTGTATACATTAACTTCTTCCTTCTCCAAAAAGCACTTTGGGGGGGGGGAAAGATTTATGAGATGTTTCCAGTTAGTTCCTTCTGACAGACTGCTTTTTATTGACCTTAGATCATCATGATTTCCTTTAAGGGCGATTCTTGAAATGATTTAAGCTATTTAAATAAAATATCTTAGTCTATAAAAAGGAGAGAGCTTCCAAATCATACATATACATATCTATTAACCATTTAAACCTGACAGTGATGCACATAAGGTAACATAGGTAAGAAAATAGTTTTGCATACTATGGTGCACAGCTATTACAAGTGTTCTTTAAGTATGGACACAAAAGCAGACAACTCAGTGGGAGATTCCAAAGGCTGCATCTCTGAAATCACTGCAAGAAAAAAAGAGAAACACAACCTCAAGGCTGTAACTCACCTACACTTAGGCTAAAGAGTGAAACCCACCTATGCTATTTAGCCCCCGAGTCCTGCTGTGACAGAAAGAAGCATATTTCTCCTGTAAAAGAATACAAGGGAGCAAAAACCCCATGAAACCCATTATTCACTCCATGATTTTGCAACATGGCAGCTCTTAGCCGTCTATAAGGAGGCAGAAATTCCAGGAGATAAGCCTTGACTTTGTAGCCCCATCGCTCCTAGAAAGCAAGCATGCACATACTGCTGTACCCTTAGAAGCTGAATAGGTTCCTCGTTTCAACTTTAAGTGCCAAAAGTTAACTCCTTCATGCAAAGGATGCAGGCAATTGTCGTCTTAAAGGTGGAGACTACAAAGCTTTTCTAAATTTAATAAGAAGTAGAAAGCTCATCAATTCAAACAGAGAAATTACTAGGCCCATGACTTACTTCCCCCCATACTTCCATGGTATGTGGAGAAGGACATCCAGAAAAACAGCTACAATTTTAAGCATAACAAATGTAACTTCCACTGCTTCATTGGTCTTATTCTCACTTGTCACACAAATACTTTTAACAAAGTTAAAAAGAAAATCAAATCAAACGAGACTTTGGTTTTCTCCTGTCCCTAGATCTGTAACATTGTTTTCATGCCATACTCCCCCCCCCCCCCCCCCTCCACCACGCCCCATCTTGTTTCATATTATCCACAAGAGCAGATGAACATAAAAAACAAAACTGAAGAATAGCTAGTCAGCTAGTGTCCAGCACTTCTGGTGATAACTGTGGAACAAAATTAGGAAGACTCACATTAAAGAAGTTTCAGAATCTTCATAGATAATCTTCAAAATCATTACAATCAGAACAATCTGAGACAAAAACAAAACAAGACCAATAACCCATGGTACCTGTCGCTTTAATGAGATTAGTTCCATATCCAGCTGTCTAAGAATTGTGTTGGCTGCATTGGGACTACAGGAAACAGCTATCACATCTTCCTGGGTCAGGTACATGCCTTTTGGTGGACGGCATTTGGAACGCTGAGAATGGTGGCGATGCTGCAAGCTCTGATACTCTCTTCTACCCAGACCTATTTTGCTGGTCTGAACAGGCTGCTCATTATTGCCCTTTAATTTACAAGAAATAAATCATTAAAGAATAACAGTATCTTATATACAACTTTAATAAAGTATCACATAGCATTGTAATGCCCTATTTATGACCAAGAAAACTTAAGCTAACATCCTCCTCTGCATGTAGTAACCAAACTGGAAGTCATCTTGTTTCATATTATCCACAAGAGCAGATGAACATAAAAAACAAAACTGAAGAATAGCTAGTCAGCTAGTGTCCAGCACTTCTGGTGATAACTGTGGAACAAAATCAGGAAGACTCACATTAAAGAAGTTTCAGAATCTTCATAGATAATCTTCAAAATCATTACAATCAGAACAATCTGAGACAAAAACAAAACAAGACCAATAACCCATGGTACCTGTCGAGCAGATGAACATAAAAAACAAAACTGAAGAATAGCTAGTCAGCTAGTGTCCAGCACTTCTGGTGATAACTGTGGAACAAAATCAGGAAGACTCACATTAAAGAAGTTTCAGAATCTTCATAGATAATCTTCAAAATCATTACAATCAGAACAATCTGAGACAAAAACAAAACAAGACCAATAACCCATGGTACCTGTCGCTTTAATGAGATTAGTTCCATATCCAGCTGTCTAAGAATTGTGTTGGCTGCATTGGGACTACAGGAAACAGCTATCACATCTTCCTGGGTCAGGTACATGCCTTTTGGTGGACGGCATTTGGAACGCTGAGAATGGTGGCGATGCTGCAAGCTCTGATACTCTCTTCTACCCAGACCTATTTTGCTGGTCTGAACAGGCTGCTCATTATTGCCCTTTAATTTACAAGAAATAAATCATTAAAGAATAACAGTATCTTATATACAACTTTAATAAAGTATCACATAGCATTGTAATGCCCTATTTATGACCAAGAAAACTTAAGCTAACATCCTCCTCTGCATGTAGTAACCAAACTAAGTCTTGCAGGTGAGCTGATGGAGCATACCAGTCATTTGCTGGATAAGCCTGCGTTAGTCTTAGAAAGGCCAGTTTTCAAAACTACTTTTTTTTTTTTTTAAACATGGCTGAAAATACAATACATGGTATAGAAATCACAGTCTGAATATTATAAAAGAGGGCAAAAATCAAGAACCTCTTATGTAAGCAGAAGGTAAAGAATATATATATATATATATGAAAAACATGTTTAAACCAAGTAATCGGTTTATTTTTGGCCAGATATGAAGAATTCAGGTGAAGATCAGGGGAGAAGAATAAGCGGAAGTCAACCAGGATGGGCAAGAATGCAAGATGACACTTTTCCCTGGTGCAAGCACTCTAACTCAGAAAGCGATAGTGCTGTTTGCTTTGGGACGGGATTTGAGATTTAGAAGAGAGAGGATGGATTTACTTTTGCAGTCATTATAAAAATCCATGTAATTTAGCAAACTTAAGCCTTTGTTGTTTGCTTTTTTGAAGTGGAAGGGGATAGCAAAGAGGAGATGCAATCTTTGTAACTGCTGTTTTGATATGTTTGGACATGTAAAAATTTCAGCTTTGTCTTCAGTGGGCATTCCTGCACAACAGCTAGTCTGCACACACGTGACTCCCATAGGGCAAGCAGGTAGGTTCCTTACAGACCAGGAGGAGAGAAGCAAAAACAACTTTCCCTGCAAGGACTCTCCAATTCCAAGCAATGCTAAGTACCAGAACAGAGACGGGATTCAGGCTTTTTGCTACTTCAAGCAGCTCCCTACTGCTTCTCTCTGCTGGCATCTATGCAGGTTAAGAGGAGGTGGTCATCTGATCACAGCGAAGAGAAAACAAACTGCAGCAGCCATTATTATTATGTTCTGTAGCATTAGTACAGATCAGCAAACAGTATTTTGCTCTACTATGCTTGACCTTCTGCCACATCCTCTTCCCAGCTAATGTAATATCTTAATCCAGTCCACAGACTTCATAGAGGCAATCTTAAAAGCACTTAAGATATTTGCTTTTCCTTGGAAAGTTGATATAGAGCCTTACATCTTTGACATCTAAAAATCCCAAGGTTAAGTTTACTTCTGGCCCATTTATACTATTTGTTTTCTGGTTCTGCATTGCTCTTTCAGTATGAAATTGCAGTTCCTGTCTGTTCAGTCTGGATTTAAAGTGAAAATATTCTCCCAAGCTTTTGACTTGCCAAGCTAGAGTGTTTGGTTCATTTTAGTTTTCTCTGGTAACAGAAAGTTTCCATTGCTCTGCGCGTTCCAAGTAGCCTACTCAGTTTATATCTTGCTTAGGAAGTGGAAGCATGCAAATCCTACCAGAAATATTAGATCACAAAATTATCTTATGTAGATCCAAATAGCTCATCAGAAACTGCAAACCTATTTGTCCTGTTCCTAGAAGTCTATGAACACACTACTTTCATTCTGGACTGCGTGTAGTGATTCAAACAATAACTAAGGAAAGTAAATTGAACAAAATAGCCCTTATCTAGCAGTGGCTTAGACAGCAACTCAAATCAACAGATTGCAAGAACATTGTTACAACAGCAGAATAAAAAGTAAAAATGTTCATTATTAGACCTTGTGCCATTTCAAGTTCTAAAATGCAAAGAAAACATTTAGTTTCCAACAATTCACAACCAGTAAAACTGTAAACATATTAACAAGACAGAGGTAGGGGGAATGTTGTTTTACCAGGTAGCGATAGCATACATCTCTTATAAACTTGAAGATCTCCGAGGAGATAGTGAAGGTAATGAGAGATGTATTTATGTCCCCAGAATGGCAAAAATAATACAATAACATTTTGTTTCAATCAGAAGTTGTCAAGACTTTGATCATCTAAAAACCCTGTGAATTCAGCAGGCTGCAAGCTAAACCTCCTTACTACAAATCATATTCTTCACAGTAACACATTCACAGAAAACAAACAAACTGACATTCACCATTAAGCTATCTGTTACCTCCTTTTTGGCTTCTTTTTTGGGATCGTAATCACTATCATTTCCATCCATTGGATGAGCTTCTTCTACGTCATCATCACTGAGGACAGATGATAAGAAGCTGGTCATTTCGTCTATTCTTTAACCCCAAATATAAATATGTATCAGGGTAAGACAGAATTATCTACTCTAAAATATCTACTCTAAGTATATGGCATCTCAGTTGTTTGTAGTTTTCAAAAGAGAGCTGTTACAAACATATTCCCTTTATTAAATTCTAATAATTATTATGATAAACAAGCAATCCTAAACTCTAGTTTCAGAATTACTTTAAGCAGTGCTGGTACTGCTGCCCAAAAAATTTGGTGTCACCTTTCTTCAATTCAACCACTTGTGCCGGCATGAACACTTACACGGTCAACTATACCAAGGCTAGAAATAACCTTTCATTTGCCACATTAGTTTTAATAGATCAGTTCTGAAACCACTGCACCAGGTGTATGAATAAACCCTTGCTGAAGTCTGTGGAGAGCAAAAGGGGACAATATAAGATGGGAAAACACAGGACTGCTTTTTCACCAAAGTCCTCAAGATCTAGCAATTTGGGGGGGGGGGAAAGGAATGAAATCTGCTGAATTAAATCAAAGAGAAAAGGTTGAAAAGATAACAGTTAGTTTAGTCGAGTCCAATCCAGTCATTCACACGACAATTTCTTAATAAATGAATGTAAGAAAAACCAACAAAAATTTCTAGTTATTACCAAAAAAACCCCAAAACCCAAATGCTGTATTAGAAGCAAATTTATTTTCTTCTGTAATTTTTCAGCCATAGGGTCACTAAGTAAGCATATGAATTTTAGATTTCAGGAGTTCTTTTCAATAACATATAATTAAATAGACCCTTTTGCTCTAGCTAGGAAACTTTCTGTAGATGTAAAATCATACTTTCCAATATAAACATGATTATGTTACTTATACATTCAACATATTAAATCACTTTTAAAAAAGTGCAAGTTAATACTCAAGTATACTAAGTGCAATATAATTTTAATTTCATAGTAACTAGGGGAAATGTCATTCCCTTCTATCCAAGACAATTTAAAGCTATTTTGAGCTCTAGTTCTCTTTGACTGATAGCAGCTCTAAGTCTCCTAAAATAAGATTTATATTTAAAGTTTTGTTATAAAACAGTACTTGGGCATTCTGATTGCTACAGCTCTTTACAGTGGTTGATCTTTCAGTTTAAATACCATTCTAGTTCAAAAAAACCCAAATAAAAAAAAACCCCACCACCCAGAAAACCCCCACATCCACAAAAACACTCTCCTCCCCACACAGTAATATAGGGTTAGACTTCTCAAATAAAGCATTATTTCTAAACCACATCCCCAGACTTCAGCTTTTTTTAAACCCTTGTTTTCAGTTATCCATTAAAGCACTCGTGTGTTATTACAACTCACACCGACTGGAGTGATATGGTTCTTAAAGCACAGGTACCAAACCCCTTGCTAAAAGCAGAGACATTACCACAGATGCTTGAATCTAAAAACACAGTTCACACTGAAACATAACGGCTGGAAATTACTCTGACAATTCTACCTAGAAAGACTTCAGTCTCTGGTTAGCTACTTAAGAATACAAAGCTTACCTGTCACCTTGATTATTTCTATTAGCTAGTTTTCGAGCCTGCCGATCCATCAAACTTGTCCTAGAGCGAGTTTTTTTCCAAGAATAGTAATATTTCACAAGGCTTGCAATAGTCTTGTCTGGAAGCTAGAAGAATTCATTAACATATTAATACTTTTTTAAATTAAAATTCCACCCAAGATTATAATTCTGCTCTATTTACAACCACCTTTACCTAAATATCTTAAATGCATGGATGAGATGGAAAGGAGGGATGTATTTCGTATACAGTTTTAAACAGGGGGGAGGGGGGCAAAGGCTTTTATCATCAGAGTGAAAAAGCTATAGGTCCAAGACACGTGATGAAATTAACTGCTTCTGGTTAAAATATTACTTTACCATTTGCTGGATCCTGTGAAAGCTCTTTCCATGGAAGCTAAATGCTTGTTCAAATAGGACTTTATCTTCAACTGTCCATTCATCAGGGAAAGGAGTGAAGTTAGGGAGATCCGCAAGGGACTTCTCAATATTGTGTTTATGCCAAAACAACATGCCGAGAGCCTTTGAAAAGAAATAGTCCCTTTTTGGATTTAGTCAAATTTCTAAAATGTTGAGACAAGCTAAATAAAACCCTGCAATTTATTTATTTAAAATAAAATTTGACTATCAGAACCCCTTCTCAAAATGTATTTACAATTTTATTGGCTATGTACTGTAGGTTACAAAATTCTCTTTGGAGACGATATGAAGAGTGGGCACATCTATACTTTATTAAAGCTATGAAAGCTAGACAAGTTTGGCATGGCAGCAGTAATTCTGAAGTAGCATGAACTAGGCTGATAGGCTCAAATATGACCTGCTTTCTTTCTTTACGAGCATGTATCACCTATACAGCTCCTTATAGGTCTTCAGGCCTTTATTACCAGCCCACTCAAAAAAGAAAATAAAAATACTTTTCAGCAGCCAGAGGATCATCCAAAATGCAAGTCTGAAAGTTCAAAGTGAGAGTGGTCTTTCTACAACTCTCCAATCCACAAATAACAGCACGGCCACTTCCATGTCACGTGCACCTAGTAAGAATTGAAATTTAAATGTATTTTCTTACATAATTTCATTTATCGATATTCTTAAAGAATTTTACACTGATTAGACTTTCTGCTAGAGAATCAATGACAGATTTGATGCCAAGTCTGGCATTGGAATTGGGAAATGTAATCCACTCAGTTTCAACCATACAGTGCAGACATGATCACCAGTTGTTCATCAGCTCTCCAAACCCCTGATTTCACATATTCTAATATCCTGGACATAGCAAACCTCTTTTCTTGTTGAAATGGCAAGTGACAAGCGCCTCTTGCAAAGATAATTTCTATTCCACTGTGAACAGTCTACAAATATTTTGTACCAGAATTGGTTTTGAAAATTAGCCTTTTTTGTAGACTTATTTTCATAGAATCATCACAGAATAGTTTGGGTTAGAAGGGACCTCTAAAGGTCATTTAGTCCAACCCCCCTGCCGTGGGCAGGGACATCTTCAACTAGATCAGGTTGCTCAGAGCCCCGTCCAACCTGAAATTGTATCAATTTTGAGATCCCTCAGTTCCCTCTCTCCCCTTACAAAAGCCAAGCCATAAACAAACATCACTAAACTGCAGGTATTCTGGACATCGTAACACTGGCAGCCTCTTTTTCAGATAGCAGTTGACTAGCAAGTCTTTGCTATTATGAGCTTCCATCCTCCAAAACGTGATCATACAACTTGTTTCCACTCGTACACCAAGTACTTTTTTGCAATAGGTAATCTCACTTCTACATAAATTGGTTAATTTATGAAGGAAATTGCAAGAGAACTAAGTGCAGACCAGCAAAGTTTTATCATGTACTTTTTACAGGATGGTGATTAAAGGTTATTAAAAAAAAGTGAACTTGTTTGTTACTCTCAAACCTAGAATTTGATTCAGTTTTCCTTCCTCTGAAGAAACACTCACTTAAAATTGGTTTGCCTCTTTTTTTTTAAAATACGCAAGAAACCTTTCCAGTGCTGTCCCTATGGCAATTAATGGTTCCAAATTGTACCGTATTTTAATTCTAATATTAAACATTAAATTTGTAGGCTGCTTTCCTAAGAAATTCTTTAGCTAAATATACACACACAATTGCATGACATGCCCAGTGTATCAAGAAACATACCAAACCTTTCAAAAGTGCACATTACAAGCTGAGCATGTCATGAAAACAAAGAGCTCAATCTTTTGCAGAGAATCCAGACCACAACTGTATGCAGATCCATTTAACTGCAGTTTGCTGCCGTGCCTGAAGAGAAACAGCGTTAATTAATGGTAACCAAGGGAAAAAAGAGTTGTGTTATACTTTTATATAAAAAAAATCCTTTAAAGGAGCACTCTCATTTCATAGCACTTACCTGTTCCACATTGTATCCATGTTTTTCCTTTGCTATTGCTATATATTCATCCACTGTAACAAAGCAATGTCAGAATTATTCTTTAGTACTTTTAGTTCTGCTATAAGGTGACACAGAATTAGCCATCTAACATGGGAAAACAGTCCTCCCATGCTTTAATACACTGCATAGGCCCAGGTTCCCCAAAACGTTAAAATATATTCATAGCTTCATTAATAATAAATAAACCCACTGTCTTTAATCCAACATTTAATTTTATAAATTTTCTATACAAGCTAATTCTCAGTGAAAAAGATGCTCTCTATCACATTTTTACTACAACAAAGCCACAGAGGGTCATCATTTATTTATTTAAATCAGAGACTAGCTGGTTATTGAAAGGCTATATCTCTGTCTTCTTGGAACCCACTCCTAAGAACACAGACACACTGGGTGTGTGTGCAGACACCTGGGTTGGTTTTAAATTGAACTACTTCTACTGTTTGTATTCCCAAACGTTAAAAATTAATGTAAAAAGGTCCTAGATCGATGATTATGCATATCCTCGATATTAAAATAGTTTTCACTGACCAACATTAATTTTAACCATAGCATGAAGTCGGTTTTCAATAGAGAATATGAAAATTCAATAACTAGGACATCAAATTCACCAATAACATATTTTTTAAATCATATTTGGCCATACTAGAGCCATCTTTGAGTTGAACACTTTCCATCATTGGCAATTAAGTCCTGCTAGTTTTGATCTTCAACAAATATTTTTTTTATTTTTAAAGAATAAAGAAACAAACTCTTCCCATTCACCTTCTACAGTTCACAATTAAGTGGCAACTAAATGTAGTTGAAAGGAAGCATGATTGACAAAAGGAAATAATTATATCCTCATTATTCAAATGGAACAGAGACGTCCTTGCCATGAACTGTTGCAGCAAAGAATTAATTGTACTTTAAAGGAATGAAGAAACTGTTTAATAATCATAGTTGTACAGCATTTCATTTCTAACCGTTCTGCAGTAGTAGAAGGTACGTCCCCTCAAACGTAGGGGGACACAAACCTCTAACTACTGGTAATAGATAGAAACTGTCCTCAGGACCAGGTTCTCATGACTGCACCCTCAAAGTTTACTCCCCTATATTATATATGGGAAATTCTAGCATAGGAGGCAGGTTTAAACTAGACTAAACAGATAATTGATCACATTTAGTCAGATGAGTCTGTATTTCAGGTCACTTTTGAAGGGAGAAAATGCTCAGTTTTTCCTGAGCATTCCCCTTGAACTGGGCCTCAACACATCTTTTCTGAATTTATCTACTGCAATTCCTCCTCCTAGAAATTTAGAGCAGCAAGTTCCTCATGCTTAGATGTTTTATTCTTTTATTAATAACTAAAGGTTTCACAGACACTGATGATGATACAACACAGGCAGTGTGATTTGAAACAAAGACTTAACTATAGAGTAAGAGAAGGTGATCTTTCCTTTCCCCAGAGTTCTCGAAATAAAAAAAAATAAAAGAGAAGCTTTGTGTTTAATTTACTAATTTGCAATTTCACTGTGTGTAAAACAAAGAGCAAACAGGCACACCAGAAACAATTACTTAATTATACTTAAGCATCCAAATTCCTAAGCAGGGAAGGACTTACACTTGGCATCTGGAATATTATGATATGGAGACCATACAAGCATCCCTCCATTATCTTTATCAGTATATTTTGTGGCACCTGTAAGAAAACAAGTAAGTCTTAGTATTTATAAATATGATCTAGAGAACAACTATTCATGGGACAGTAAGTAAAAGTCAACCATATTAAGCAGTCCAGCCCAACTACTAAGGGGAGGGAAAAAGTCATTAATTCCACATTATTTCCTTAAGACATCAAATGGCTGAATTTGAACACTACTCTTATGAGGTTCAATCATAACTGGATGTTAGGATCCTGGTTACCACAACTGGAGCATTAAAGCGCATTGCTAAAGTTGGCATGGATGCAAAATTTAGAGGTACTTGTGTTGGAACAGTCCTCCAGAAGTTATGATTGTCTATTAGTACTCTAACATTTATCATTACCATAGGAGCATCAGGATCTACTGTGTTGTTAGGCTTCCTTAAAACAAAAAAAATATGAGATAGGGGGTAGAATACAGTCACCATCCCTGATCCTTTCAACAAGGAACTATACTAACAACTATGCCAGAAACAATTCTGTTCCTCTCTCTCTCTCTCTAGTTTTGAGTTGCATAGCCATGTAATTTTGATATTCATAGCCAACCAAATCGTGTAGCTGTAGAAAGTAGTTAGGTCTAAAAGTCATCCTTTTTTGTTTGGTTGCTTTTTGGGGGGGTTGTTTTTTTTGGGGGGTTCTTTGTTTCTTTCTTTGTGCTTCAACTCCACTTCAATGTAGCAAGGGAAGCAGTCCAAGTTACCTAACCTATCAGGAGGACAGAGCAATTTTTTCAATACTGATGCAACTTTGTACAAAGCACTAAATCATAAAGTCTTTGATTTTTAAAAAAACCCGCTGTAAAAGAAAAGGAAATTCCCCCATACTGCAAAAGCATTAACTAATAGTTACTTTTCATGAATATTTTACAAATGTATGCTACTACATAAAGCCTCTTACAATCTGTTTGTTTACAACAGTTTATCTTGCTAAGACATTGGTCAACAATTGGAGCATTTACACTTGTGTCAGTATGAATTCCTTGAGGAATCACCCTCTGAGGAACCTTCCCTGCATCCTTCTTGGAGGACAGATTTTTTTATTCAGTGAAACAACTTTTCACTCCATTTTAAGCTTCCACAGTTTATATTTAGGTTCTACATCTTGTTGAAGGAAACAAAACAAAACAAATCAATGCTTTGGAAAAGAGAACAACTTAGTGCTTTCTAATTATGTACTATGTTTTGTTGCCCTCCCCTCTTTAGTTTGGCAGTGTTTTGTATTTGCTATCATCTTTGAAATGCTTAGATCCATTATGACGGTGAACTTGAAAACCAGTTAATTAGAAAAACTGAAAGAACTCATGCATCTTCCAAAATGAGATGTGTAAGACAGATAACCTAAATGCACCATAAACTCTGTAACAAGTTAAAAATGTACATACATTCATAAAGCACCAGTTTCAAGGCATAAGCAGTACTAAACTCTGAAAGGATTTTGGTATAAGAACAAATTCCTTAATACAACATTCTACTTTAGAACAAAAAACCATGCCATTTTTAGTCATTAGGAACGCAATATTTCATGAAGAGCGATGCAAACATGTTACAGGCACAACATTTCTCTTGTCCACTCAGTTTTTATCACAAGTAAATGACCACTACCCTGTACTCCACTCTTTAACTAAGAGATGAGGAGAAAACAGGACCACTAGAGAATGCATCAGAATTTCAGGTTGTGAGCAAGAAGTGTCTAAACTTAACATGAGTATACCCTCAGTTTTTCCTTCCCAAAAAAATACCAGACACCTGCAGACAAGTGGATATCATGGATATTATCAGCTATTGAATATTCAAGTATTAAAGTGAAAAAACTTAAGTTTCAGAGTCCTATCATTTGCGCCTGCGGATCATGTATGCAGTGACACTTCCCTGTTGAGATGCCACCCTCACGTGACCTGACCAACAAGCAGCTCCCACCAGAACATCCCCTTATGAAGCAGTGCTGTTTCTCCAGCAGGAATCAGATAACTTTTTCCTTTCAGGTGGCATCTTCACACTGCCAAATGGAAGGCAAGGACGACAAAGGAAGGATGGGATGCATACAGGTAGGTCTGTGCTCGAAGAAAGGTATCCCGTCCTCAACACAGGATGTCCATAGCTACAGTACAGGGATCCCTCCATCTCCATATGCAGGACCGTGATCTACCTTTATGAGAACTGCTTCTTGCCATTTGTGCCCCAAGTATTCAAGTGAGCAGCACTCCTCCCCAAAAAAGGCTGTGTTGTATCTCAAGGGCAACATGATCTTTATCCGCAAGTCCCATTCTTATTACAGACAGCGGCTGGAAATACCAGGCAACATGTTAACCAAAGTATGTTAGAAGAGCAGGGTTGTAAGCCAGTAAGGAAGAGAAAGACCATGAGCTACATCTCAAACATAACAAGTCTCCCCCTGCCCAAACCCCACATTCAAGCCACTTAGGAAGAGGTTTCTGTACTTCAATTGCTGCGCTCCTCTGCCAATGCCACTTAGAAAACAGGGCTAGCTGAAGATGACCCACAAACTCTCCACTGCTTCCAGAATAGAGAAACTATAGCAGCAAACTGACACTTTCTAAATTTCAGCTTAGAAGTGAGGCACACGCGGATGATGCCGTTCTGTACACGACTTCAAGTACTGAGAATAAAATGAAAATCTGGAAGCATACAATACTTAATAAGGGCATTGTGGGGCAGCATGGCAATTTAAAAGTGTATTGGTTTCCAGCATACAAAGTACCATCATCTGCTTAAGATCTGCTTTGAGAGTAGGAACAGAAACACAGAAACTAACAGGAGGAAGAACTAAATTTCTAAAATAAAGGACTAGAAATCTTAAAAATAATTTGGTAAATAAACATAAATAAAAGAAATCAGGGAACGTGAGGACAGATGGCATGGAATAAATGGAAAATTTTACATACTTCACCACACCATTTAATAATTTCTATTTAAGAAGCCTGTTTTCATATAGGAAGACACGAGTGAGGAAAGTTATAAGGATGTACACAGAAATGGATTCCATAAGTGACAAACATTCTTCTTGACAGCACACCCCCCCCCCCCCCCCAGAGGGGTAAATGGTAAATGCGAAATAAGTATTTCAGCATTAAACAAGCAAAATTCATACTAAAGCCTTTGGGAAGTCCAAAGTCCAAATCTGAGTAGAATAAAACTTCTCTAGCAGTTATCTCATGTGTGGATGACACAACAGTATGGTGCATCTCCAGTGATGGCATTCTCCACTACGCTTTCCAAGAGAATGCAAACAGCCCACAACATAAGGATACCAGCTTTGTAACATCCTGCTACATCTATAGGTGGGTCAGAAAATTTACAAGCAGAACAATTTCACCTCAAGAATATAGAAAACCAGCAGGAGGAGACAAAAATCTGGAGTGCAGGAGATGGTTTATTAACTCAGTAAATTAGGTAAGGAGATTTAGGATTTTTATTTTATTAAAACCGCTTTTTGAGTGAGAAAATTTATCTCATTGCAGTAGTATCTAGTGACAATTAAAAATGCCATTTCCCTTACAGCTCTATCTGAAGACTTGCTTGTAAAAAAGGGGATGGTGGGGGAAGGGGTAAGAAAGAGTATGTTTAAACTAACTTCTCCTAATTGTTGCTTCCAACCACAATCCACTTCTTCCAAGAGACACTGACAAACAGTTGATTCACTTTTTCTTTAAAAAAAAATTATTTTATACATGAACTCAGACCAAAAAAAAATGTTTACTACCATCACAACTTCAATCATGAATGTTTTGTTCCTCAATGTATTGTCATAGAGCATTGCTTATGAGTATTTTTCAACACAGGCTAAGTAAGGCCAAAGGATTGGTATTTATTCCACTCATTTTAGTATTCTGTGTGTGTACCAGAAGGCTGACTTTGTATCTTAGACTTTTATGTAGCTTCATCTGTCGTTGATTCCCTTCTCCCACCTATTTGTTTTAAGGGGGTTAAAAAAACAGCACTCAAAGTACTGTAAATAAACACACATTCTAATGTATCTGGTAAGCCCTCAAAAGAAGGCATTAAAACAATTCCAAGAAGAAACAGCATTAAAGTTAGTGAATCAGAGATAGTGCCTATGTCCATATATGCAAACCTAGAAGTATGATGGAGTGTCCGTTACATCGTTTGCTACAAAAAAAGTAATCTAAGTGTAGCTATGATAAGAGCACAGCTTTTTGTCCAGCATTACTTCCATCTCTATGAAACGATGCCTCAAGACTCATCAGGAAAAAAAAAGAACCCAGATGAAAGCATGAGATCTTGCTGAGATCTCCTCAGATAACCAATCTACTAACATGGTATGTATTGTACTTTTACACTTTATGGACTTTTTTAAAAAAATTTTATAAGAATTAGGTGTTCCAAAAAAAGTTACTATCTTCTTGCCCTAATAATCAAAATACACACACTAAGAAGAACAATACTATACATTATACCTCTGACACTAGACATATTGCGGAAAGATTTCCATCATTAAGGAAATTGATAAAGTAGTTATTGGGGAAAGGAGCATCAGTTGAATTCCACCCCCCAGGAACACTCAGGAGCTCTAAAAAGTCTGGTTATAAGAGAACACAAAATTAGTTCTGTAGTTACAAACGCAAGGATACCATTGCATATATAGTTTACAAAATTGAAACCACAGAACCTCAGTTGTCCTACAAGGGGTGAGGAGTTCTTTTAATCAAAAGAAAAACAAACACTATGTGTTTTTCTAATATAAGTGGCCTGTAGGAAAAACAAGCCCAGGCTGCCCTTAGAAACGATCAATTTTATTTATGTTTATTTTTATGTAGGCAATGTAAAAATAAAGGGTGTAAACGGTCAGTCTTATTAACAAAGAGACCTAGACTACGCGCTCCTTTCTAGGGGAAAGGCATTCCCTTATGCCAAGATCATGCATCCATTTAATCCCACCCTCCCCCTTTCTTTCCCCCGGCCTTTTCTTTGGCCTGTGGGGACTTGTGCCCATCAAGAGGGGCTCGCTCCAGCT